TGATCATCTCTCCATAGACAACCTAAATCAGTCCTCTTAAAGGGATGGTACAGGTGACCAACCAACAACCACTGCTTTTACACACTACCTGCAAAGTAGAAAATGTCACAAGATGTTTTAGTGATTTTTTTATATAGAAGATGGATGTCAAGCCAGAGGAGGAGATATTCGGAGGTCAAGAAGTTGGCCTTAAAATGTGGAATTGGAAGAGATCTCCAGAGGATAAAAATCAAGGTAACCAAGATATGGCTATCAATGATAATGTGAAGGAGGTTGGAATTTGAAAAAAAGAGATAGCTAAAGCAAGATATGGAGGGGGGCATGGCCTTGGAACTGTACAACTTCCAAGGGAGAAGAATGTCAAAATTTGAATTCACAGATAAGTAGTCAGCATAAGTCAAAGGGAGTGATAGATGAAAATGATTTAGTATGTTTGGCATAAATAGAGTTTTTGATAAGATGAGGTTACAGAACATGGAACATGGGAGGATACTGGACAAATCATAGATGAGATTTTCACTGGCAAATATTACACTTCGCACTCCATTCGTAATTCCAGTATCAGTTGAATAAATATACTTGGAAGATTTTCTTTATTTCTCAGTCATGTTAATATACAAAGGATGAAAGAGCAACTGAGATAACAAGGTGTAGAGCTGGATGAACACAGCAGGCCAAGCAGGAAGGCTGACCTTCCGGGCCTCTGTCTAGGCCCGAAACGTCAACCTTCCTGCTCCTCTGATGCTGCTTGGCCTGCTGTGTTCATCCAGCTCTACACCTTGTTGTCTCAGATTCTCCAGCTCCGACTATCTCTAAAGAGCAACTCACTACTTTAAACCACATTTATTGTTACCATTCAGGATTCACTAAAGTTGGCTGTTACTATTTAGGGGTCATTTAATTTTGTTTTGACTATCAATCAGCAGTCTTAGAATAGATCCACTGACCATAATTTTTAAATAACACCTTCCGAACTGTGAAAGCTGCTATTTATAGCTGGCACTTTTTTACTGCCAGATAAAACCCCAAACATCAAGGTTGTTAATATTGTTGAAACAATGCAATCAGTGCGATTTCATCAGTTTTGTTGGACTTCGCTGAGAAACAATGTGCACACAGGACCTTCAACATAAATTGTATGAATAAGCTTTGAAGCCTTTGCACACTGAAGCATAATTGTTTTAAAGGAAATCTGAATGTAAATCCAGACATTAATTCAATTCTAAACACAATACTGGCTTAACTAGATAATCCTAAAGAGTAACCATCTGATCTTGTACTTAGAACAAGTGCTCTATTACAAATAATCCCTTATACAAATTCACCAATACTTCTGCAGCACAAATGTAACAACTTCTAAGAAATCTACTACAGAATATTCCATGTTTTATTTAAGCAAAACACACCAGTGTTGTGGTACCACTGGGAGCTTTATACATCTTGTTGTAAAATGGTTTTACCTATACAGATTTGAAATACCAATTACTAATTCAGTTGAGTGAATATATTTTGGGGGTATGCGCAATCAGCATTAGTAATGTGATAATAGTAATGAAAGCAAAATATACTAAATAACCATATTCAGTTACAAACAATGGCAAAATGATCAAAAAGGAAGTCCTGTGGAAGGAGTGGAGAGGAAAGAAAGGAAGGGGGAGGGGATAAAAGGTGAGAGGGGGAGGGGGTGGTGAGAAAGAGAATGGAGATTTATCTCTTACAATTCAAGTCATAATATTAGCACAACTTCAAAAGTTATACTTCTCAGCTGACTTTATTCACATTGGTTTCCAATATGCAAACTTGAGCAATGTATTTCAAACAATCCAATAAATAGAAAACAAAAGGCTGAACATGTCTCACCACTATTGTGAAAGATACAGCATTCTGCCATGCTCTCCCAAAGAACAGTTCCATTGACAAATTTGAGAACAGTGACTAAGACTGCCTTGTGGAACTAAACTAATCTCAGCTTTTGACAAAATGTTTATTTCACTTCCCTCATTGCAAACAATGTTTCTTCACAACAAGGGACAAAAGAAAATCTATCAATCATTTTTATCCTACATTTCCTTCTGCTTATTTTGGTTCTCTTGCTAGCCGAATTCCTGGACTAGCATGATTTCTATAAATTTCTGCTCAGAATATCTGCTAAAAGTACAGGTAAAATCTACACCCAGGGATATTATAAAAACAAAACATTGCCAAATCACCCCACAGCATAGCACGCTGAAACAGCATTTGACTGAATTCAAGTAATGTTTCTTTTGTTTAAAGTCAGAATGTTGCAAAATTATTAAACATTGAACTTTTATTCAAACAGATTACAATCTGATTCATTCTTCTCTTGCAGACAATATGAAAGAGAACTACACTCCAAGAGGGGCACAAAATTTCTTCTCCAGAATTGTTTTTGGCAGCTATTAAATATTTCAAATGTTTACTTCTACATTTAACAATAATCTCCAGCAAAATTAGATCAAAGGCCAACAGATACAGCATCAAATGTCTAATCACCACTTTGGCTTTCTGCGCACATCATATGACAAAATCCAAAATGTACCAAGATTTTGTCCACAAAAAAAAATTTGGCACTGCAAGCAATCAGCTAATTCAATCACACCCAACTTAAGTACTTGAAAATTAAATATCAGCAATGAAACGCGCACTTTATTAAAATGTGGTTACTTATCTGCATCAGGGAAGCTAACATGTAAAAAACTTTTCATATTAGTTCTAAGGAAAATGCATTAAATTATATTGTGTATAAGACATCTGCATTTGGATCTGACACTACAATAAATATATCACAATCTGACCTTGCAACAGCAAGTGATGGCAACTGTAGCAACTCAACTGAATGTGTAGTTAATTCAATGCTTGCTCGGATAACATTGATAAGACCAGGATCAATAGGTTTAATCCATCTTTCTTCCACCTATTCTCAAGTCTGCTTCCTATTAAGCATCTATTTGACAGAAACATAATTATTTTTTGAAAATAAATTTGTATTTTGTAACAAACAAGAGCAATCAGATGTCAGCCATTCCATTAAAATAAATACCTCCACAAAATGAGTTAATGCAAAGGGTAATCATTTCAGTATAGTATTCCCATGAAAACAATTTTTGTCCTGTATCAGGTTAGTAATTAATACAGAATACAGTTTAAGGTTGACAATTTTGGGGTTGCATTCAAAGATTTACTAGTCAAAGACCACCAATATTCATGCTTTGCCTTCAAGATAAACCTTAAGTTTCAGTGAATCACTAATACAATGTGCCCTGCATGAGTAACAGACAATATGAACATAGGTGAAGTGATACCTTTTGCTCTAAAATATTGTTCTAATGTAGAAAGGCTTGATCAATGTGGACTCTGATGCCATAAATGTGTAAAAATATTGAAGGAAGAGACAGGGATAGTTCAAAGTTGGGATCAAGAATGAGGGGTAAAGATGATATAGTGCAGCAATTTGGAGCAAGGGGTTTGGAGAAATTCATTCACAATTGAACAAATCTGAAATTCAGTCCTATCGTTTACGGTTGACAGAAATTCTTGGCAGCATTTAATTGGATAGGCAAATGAAGGAATGGAGCTGAAAGGACATGAGAATAGTTTCAGTAAATGAGAGTAGAACTATACCCTTGTATGGTGTATCAACATTTGACTATGGACTGGTTCAGCTGAGTTATCTGTTTCTGTTACTTGTGAATGAAAGAACCAATTTGGAACTACTTCCCTATGCAAAAAGCAGATAAGAGCTTGACTCAACAGTTATTTTATCTGCTGTATGCCAAATGTAATTTAAGTCAGTGCGGTTGTGATGTACCTTTGAAAATGCACTTTTTGCAACAATGGGACATAAACATTGAAGCATTGAGAAAAGTTAACCAAAGTAGTGGAAAGGGCTAATGTTCTTTGCAACATTCAGCCTGAAAAAGATTTTGGAGGAACTATACATCCACAATATGTGCATTCAGAAATGGCTGTTTGTAAATAAAGGCAATTCATTGGCTGGGGACATTAAAAGGAGTGAATTTTAAGCACAATCTTACACCTTTTCTTCCACAAACACACACAGTTCATTTTATTCAGGCCATCTATGGGATTGAGTCGGGCTGCATATACGTCACAACTAGAGCATCAGTGTGTGCTTTAGCAAAGCTTTCAGGATAACATGAGTCAAGAGAAAGGCTCCAAGTCAGATCAAATGTGATTCTAGACCTCTATTCCAATTTTATTTCAGTATTATATCTTCTGTTCTCTTTTGCTAACTTGCCTATCTAATACACTAAGAACTAGTTTCAAGATGCCAACATGGATTCAATATTTTAATTTCAACAGCCTGATCTCAAGTGCTAGACCTGAATACAAAACAATGTTGTAGTTTACCAGAGTTCAGCATGAAAACTGCCTTTTGTCACATGCAATCAAGTTTATTTCATGTTCATGTTGTTCTGAATTATTCAGTTTTGAAAAAATCTTATTTGTGAAAACAAATCATTTTGAGAGCTAAATTTACATTCTAACTCATGAACAACCAGGATACGACAACAATTGAATAAAGTGGCTACTAATACAGAACATTAAATCCTACTGTTTAATTTCCAGGTCGATTATTGCTTGAAACTTTCAGCAAAATTAACAATTAATAGGGGGCCTTGAACGACAGAAAACAGTAGCTGATTAGGTCACGTCAACTAGATCAGATATATGCAATACCATCTGTCCCTGTGTTTAAAATACGACACTGAGCAGGATTAACGTGTCGGTGCAAACTCAGAACTAACTAGGAAAAGCTGAACTAATTTTAATGCCCGGAGCGGTAAGGGAGAGCTTCTACCTCTTTTTAAAGTAACTATTTTCCAAAATTGATTCCAAAAAGACGGGGATAGATTGTTTCCGTATTAACGGTGACTCGGCGATAGGGGGGGTCAAGGGGAGGGGTGTACTCCAGATCGAGCGCATCTGCGTTACTCGGAGAGAGAAGGATCGCTCACCTTCCGCACTCGCATCAACTCGGGGTAGAAGAACTCGGGGCAACTCTTCTCGCTCGACTCAAAGAGAGCCAGCGTGTGGCGCGAGGTGACGGCCGCTATTTCCCCCTTCAGCACCATCACGGCCGTCGCCTCCTCGCCCCCTTCCTCCTCCTCCTCTTCTTCTTCCTCCTCCGCCGCTGCCTCCTCCTTGTCTTCTTTCTTCTTCTTCAGGAGAGGAGCCGACACGGGCAGGGTAGTCAGGGACACTCGTCGCGGTTCGGCCATGTTGCGAGTCGCGCGGGACCCACTCGCTCGGCCGCTCTTTATATATATTTTTTGTCAACACCTTTCCCCCCACCCGTTCTCTCTGTCTTCACCCTGTCGTGTTGACGGAGAGGAAGGGGATAATTTAAAACAAATAAAAGAGACGCTGTGAGGAAGAAGAAGCGGGGAAGGGGTGGCGGTGGCGGGCAATCACAATCCCTTCAACAGCAACAAAAACAAACCCGACAAAACTTCGGCCGCCGCCATCTTCCCGAGCTGCCGCGCATGCGCGCGCGCGCAGACACACCGCGGGCGAAGGGAGGGGGGGGGAGGGGATGCGTGTGTTTTCGAAACGCAGCCCCTCCCCCTCCAACTTTTTCTTCGGGAATTCCATCTCGTTCGCTTCGCAGCACGGGAAAATAGGCGTCGTGTTGAAAAAAAAGACATTCGTAAAATAAATCCGTTGAGGTGGAGGGGGGCGCTGACCTTTCACCCGGCCGTGTCACGTGACGGGGAGGAGGCGGGCGGGCCGACGGACGGAGGGCCCCGGGGTGGGGGAGGGGAGTCGCCGTTGAGTGGGCGATGGACGAATTCCTCTGAGGAAGATGGCGGCCGTCAGCTTACGGGTGGGAGATTTGGTCTGGTAAGAGGCAACAGCGGCTTACGATCGCTCTCCTTTCAACCCGATCGCCCCGGCAGCTTGTTTAATTTTCGGCCAGCCGCTGTCATCGAGTGTCGTTTTTATTTTTTTCGGAAAAAAAAAGCTCCTACCTCCCTACACACACCACCCCCTCTCACGAAAAAAAATAATCGCTTATGCTCTTTCTTTCTCTTTTCTCAGGGGCAAACTGGGTCGGTATCCGCCCTGGCCAGGAAAGGTGAGTAAGAAACACAACGTTTAAACGTTTCTTTCTTCCCACCACCTTCCTTGTCCCCTTTTGCCTGCATTATTTATGGAAGGCGAGTGGGGAGTTTTGTGGATGAGGACCACTGGGGTGGGACAGAGCAAAGCATTATCCTGGTTTCATGTCGTGGAGGGATCCGGACAGAAGATCCCAAGACCGACCCCGCCAGCCTTTTCTCCTTCGCTCTCTCTACGAGGAAATCGAGCTTGTTTTATTGTGCGAGTGGCGGGGCTCCTTCACTTTGAGCCCGTTCTGTTCAATGTTTAGAGCAATTGACTGCTGAAACCGGATTGTTTCCACTGCGATGGGTATTCCCTGTTAAAGTTCCTATCGAAAGGAGTCAGTTTCTGAAAACAAGTTTGAAGAGCTATTCCTCGAGATGTAGATCTGCTTCCACATTTTGAAGGTACTCCTACGAAGAGTTACACCCTGTGGCTTCAAATCTAGTGCTGTGCCTTCTTTGGTGGACAGGGTTTTTCATTATTTTCCTTATGTTGTATAAAACACTTTTTTTTATTCCTTGTATTCAGTGAATGCTGTTGCAGTGTTTTTGGTAACATTTAGATTAGATTTCTGAGCTTTGAAGGTTAATGGCAGCAGTAATGAGACGATCAGCTGATCCCAGAAATTAATGGCAAAAGTATGATGAACTGATGACTGAGCAGTTTTGATGCACTGCCACATTGCTTGAAGTAGGGTTATTGGAAGACATTCAGGCCATTACAGTCAGCATTTGAAGTCAAATATAAAGTTGCTGAATGCTAAAACTGGCATCAGTAATGCAAGAAATTCTGGAACATCATTTGGCTTCTGGTCTAGATCAGAAATCTGATGGAGGGAATTATTCTAGTTCCTTTAGTCAATTGGCATCAACTAGTACCAGGTATGAACTGGCAAGACAGCTTCAAAATAAAATGTAATAGAGGCTTCTAAATAACTAGAGATACTATCTTTCAATCCCAGATTTATTAATTGAATTTAAATTCCATCAGCTTCCTTGGTGGGATTGAGTTTCTAATCTCCAGAGCGTCAGTTAGAATTTCTGGATTACTAGTTCAGGAACATTATGGTCATCCTGCTATTTTGCCCTATCTATTGACACAAAAGTCAAATAAATAATTACTTAAATGGAAACTGATTTTTAAAATAACTGGAAGGCAAAGGATTACCTCATTGAAACAAATTCAAAAGTTAAATACAAAGATTAGTGCTTTTTGTGTGACAGTGCTTTCTGTGTAAGAGAAATCTTGAAAGTAGGTGCTTTTAAACACTGCAACATTTGAAACACTTGTCTCAATACAACATTTAAAATTTTTTTTTCTACGGCTACCTTACCCTGACTTCTGACCTGTTTGGGACTGGAATAAAAAGTGGCTACGTTTATTTGTGTTTTTATCCCATGGAAGTGTTTTTGTGGGATAGCAATTTGGCAGTCTATTTATGAAGCTCATTTATAAAGTTTTAAAATGTATTAAGCTCCCAACAAACTTGGAGTAAGTGCCTTACTGGATAATTATTAAGTAGTAGGATCAGCTTTACCAATCAATAGCAAGCAAGATAATATGGTATATGAGAATAGGAGACTAAATGTTAGTTAAGGAATGGTTAATGCATATAATTACATTACCTGCTCATTATGTATCGATACTCTGGAAATTTGATGTGAGATATCACCTAATTTTGATAGGTTATTTTAATTCATGGAAGCAACTTTACATGGTAGAGTATTTGAAAACATCATAACCTTTGAATCCATCAAATTAGGTGATTAGTTTTTTAAAAACTGAAGTTTTTTTTAAAGGTTACATTTGAACATGTCAGCAATTTCAGATAAATCATTCCAAAATGGCTTGTTGCTTAATACGAAACAGCTCTTTTGCAGTCAATGATGTACTCCACTTGCCTGGATGGATCAGCTCCAACAACACATGGGAAATGCAGAGTGGTCATAGTATGTACCACCTATATGATGCATGGCAGCAATTCGCCAAGGCTCCTGTGACCACACCTTCCAAGGACAAAGGCAATAGATGACTGCAAACACCACTCACTGCAAGTTCCTTTCTAAGCCAAGAACCACCCTGATTTGGAATTATATTGCAGTTCCTGTACTGTCATCATGTCAAATTCCTGGAACTCCCTTAATAACAACACTGTGGGTGTCACTTCAATGGAAATCAGCCATTTACTGATCTGATTATTCGAAGTTGTTGCAGCGACTGCCATTCTGGATCTGAAAAGTTATGATTAGCTCTTTTTTCTCTCTTGATGAACTATGATTCTTATTTATGACCAATTTAATTTATTTTTAATTTTTTTTTTGTTATAAGATTGTTCATCCACCCAAAGATCTCAAGAAACCACGGGGGAAAAAATGCTTCTTTGTGAAATTCTTTGGAACTGAAGACCAGTAAGTCACTTATTTTTAAACACACTTGGAAAAGCATAATTCAGAGTTCTTCACATAGATTGTTTCCTAAAACATTTATGCAGTGTTTTGCTGTATTGGATTAAGCAATCTTGCTACAATCTCCCAAATATGATCTTGTCACTTTGCAATTATTTACTCCTCTCTTCCGTGACATTTTTCTTCTGTTATTTGACACTTCCCATTCAATCTTTTATCAGTTAACAGCCCCTGGCACCAATCCAAGACATAACAGCATGAGAAGTAGGATATTTAGCCTCTTGAAGCCTATTCTGCTATTCAGTTATGTAATTGCTGATCTGTACCTCAACTCCATTCACTTCTTTTTAACTCCTTGTCCTAAAGCCCTACAAACAAAGATCAGTTTTGGTTGAATTTTTCAGTTGCTCACAGCTTTCTGAGGGAATGTGTTCCAGATTTCCACTATCTGTTCTATTTCAAAGTGCTTCCTGCTATCATCCTAAAAAGCTTTCAAACTTTAATGTTCTGAACCCGCTGAGAGGAAATAATTTCTTTCTGTGTAGCCCATCCAGTCCTCTAACCATCTTAAACACCTCAACAGTTCTCCTTTCTTTAACTATAATCACTACCACTTTCAAAACTGCTGCTAATGCATTCTAATCCAAAAATGCAACTAGCTTAAAGACAAGTATTTGAAAGTATTATTGCCTGTAACTCTGCGCCCAACCTATATCTTGAAACTCTGTTTGAATCTTTCCAGTCCGGTTTTGCATACGACACATTAGTAAGATAACCATGGCTTCAGTCTTAAAAGACATCCAAAATGACTGACCAAGCTTACTCTCTCTCTTACCACCTTGAACCCTTTCTAGCATCTGATGTGTTTCACGATTGATGCTGTCCTCCGCTACACATTCATTTTCTAGCTGTATGGGATAGTGTGTTTGTACCCTTCGCTCATGGGTCACAGCCAGTCCATCTCCAGCAATCACCTTGCTATTCTTTCCCCACATTTGCCTATAAACACCCTCCAAGGATCTAGCCTGGGCCTACTCTTGCTCGTCTCTGTGGTACTACATGGTTAAAATCGGTTAGCTTTCTATCTGTACACTCCCAAGCCTGAGCTTTTCCGCTATCTACTTTTTTTTTCCTGGTCCTGGACAAATGACAAATTCCTCCATCCAATTTCAGGAAAATCAAAGCCATTGTTCTTGACAACTGCTTGAATACCTATCTGTTTCAAAGTCAATTTGCTGTTGCTCACTTCGGAGACCAAATAAATCTTGGGATGTGATGTTTAATGCCGAGCTGAGTTTAAAATCCTGCATCATGTCCATTACAGAAACTACCTGTTTTCATTTACATACATTGCCTGCTTTGCCATAAAATCTATTACCCAGTTTTTTGCTGTCTCTAGGAGGTTATTCCAACGCTCTTTGTGCTGCTCTTTGTTTATGTAATGAAGGTGCTAAAAGTATTTTATATTGTTAGTTTCTTTTCACCTTTGAATGTGAGAAGCTGAGTTACAGATGACTTGTTTATCCCAGTTGTTCATGGGTCGAGTATAACCTATTTAGATTTGGTCCTACAGTGCAGCTGTGAAGTAATTAAGATAATCTTTGCTTTCCATTTAGCACAAATTAGATTCCTGCTCTTCCTTGCAGTTCATAGGGAAATGGCATGTTTCCAATGAATGTCAAGAAAGATGGGATTTAAGGATCCATCAATAAACTCTGTGGGTATAGATCAATCTCCATCAGGGGTCTGGTTACTAATTGGAGGTGCCAGCTACTCTTAAGATTCAGTACCTACCAGGTATATAGCATTATGCTTGTACACCAAACTGCAAAATTGCCAATCTTGATTAGTAGAACAGATGGCTCTTTTCTAACATTGTGCCTGGAAAGTAAAGATCTTGAAGGTTGATACTTATAATTGATATGAAAAATATAACAATTTGCTTAATGAAAGAGAAAGCATGCTCTATCTTTAATCTTTTAAACCAAGTGTAAATCCAGAAATGTCTTGGTCGGTTTTGCTAGTTTTCAATTTACACACTGTTATGGCACTTGCACAGTTACAGTAATCCTGTTAAACTAATGTTAAGTTTTACAATAATAACCACAAAGCACTAAGCCGTTGTGTTGTAATTGCTCTGCCATATTAAAAGCAAATGTCGTGTTAAAAGTAAAGAGGACCTGGCAAATGGGGCAATAGGATGAGAAAGTAATATATCACTATAGAAAATTTGGTGCAAACACATTTCCCGAAAGTAGCTAAGCACACATTGTAATTCCTGAAATTTCCTACTTGTTTAATGTGAATATCTTTTTTCATAGTTGATTGCATGTTCTTAATGCACTAGCAAAATTCATGTGGCATATGTCATGAAGATAGTTGGACAACGTAATCAAGGTGCATAATATTGGGGACATATTGCTCAAATAGCATAAATCAAATGAGCAGTAACTGAGGCTTTATACATATTGTTTCTTTGAAGATGTAGAAGTTGAATTTAAGCAAGATGGTTCTGGAGATTGACTGATCGCATTATGTTTTGTTACAGTGCGTGGATCAAAGTAGACCAACTTAAATCCTATCACCTTCACAAGGAGGAAATGATAAAATCTACCAAAGGGAAACGCTTTCAACAGGCAGTGGATGCAGTTGAGGAATTTATTAAATCAAAGGTAAGGCATGCTATCATCCAATGGACCAAAAACAGTGACAGAGAAAACAAGTCAGAGTTTCATATTAATGTGTATTTAAACTAGTTTGAGCAGAAAGCTCCCTTGTGTTCTAGGATCATAGCAGTTAATTTTGTTCTAAAATTGCATTCTTGGCTGGTATTATAAGAACATAAGAACTAGGAGCAGGAGTAGGCCGTCCGGCCCTTCGAGCCTGCTCCGCCATTCAGTAAGATCATGGCTGATCTTTTCGTGGACTCCGATCCACTTACCCGCATTCTCACCGTATCCCTTAATTCCTTTATTGTTCAAAAAAAATCTGCCTTATCTTTAAAAACGTTTACTGAAGTAGCGTCAACTACTTCACTGGGCAAGGAATTCCATAGATTAACAACCCTCTGGGTGAAGAAGTTCCTTCTCAATTCAGTCCTAAATCTGCTCCCTCTAATCTTGAGGCTATGCCCTCTTGTCCTAGCTTCACCTGCCAGTGGAAACATCCTCTCTACTTCTATCTTATCTATTCCCTTCATAATTTTATATGTTTCTATAAGATCCCCCCTCAATCTTCTGAATTCCAATGAATATAATTCCAATCTACTCAGTCTCTCCTCATAAGCCAACGCCCTCAACTCCGGAATCAACCTAGTGAACCTCCTTTGCACCCCCTCCAGTGCCAGTACATCCTTTCTCAAGTAAGGAGACCAAAACTGCACACAGTACTCCAGGTGTGGCCTCACCAGCACCTTGTACAACTGCAACGTAACCTCTCTGCTTTTAAACTCAATCCCTCTATCAATGAAGGACAAAATTTCATTTGCCTTCTTAATTACCTGTTGTACTTGCAAACCAACCTTCTGTGATGCATGCACAAGGACACCCAGGTCCCTCTGCATAGCAGCATGCTGCAACTTTTTACCATTCAAGTAATAATCCTTTTTACTATTACTCCTACCAAAATGTATGACTTCACATTTATTTACATTGTATTCCATCTGCCTGACCTTTGCCCACTCACTCAATGTATCTATGTTCCTCTGCAAAGTTTCACAGTCCTCTGCACACTTTGCTCTGCCACTCATCTTCGTGTCATCTGCAAACTTTGACACCCTACACGTGATCCCCAACTCCAAATCATCTATATAAATTGTAAATAATTGTGGTCCCAACACCGATCTCTGAGGCACACCACTAGTCACTGACTGCCAGCTAGAATAGTACTCATTTATCCCCAGTCTTTGCTTCCTGTTAGTCAACCTGTTAGTCATCCTCTATCCATGCAAATACTTTACCCTTAACGCCATGCATCCTTATCTTATGCAGTAGCCTCTTGTGCGGCACCTTGTCGAAGGCCTTTTGGAAATCTAGGTACACGACATCCACTGGGTCCCCATTGTCCACCTTGCTCGTAATGTCTTCATAGAATTCCAAAAGATTTGTCAAGCATGACCGCCCTTCATGAATCTTAAGAGTAGCTGGCACCTCCAATTAGTAACCAGACCCCTGATGGAGATTGATCTATACCCACAGAGTTTATTGATGGATCCTTAAATCCCATCTTTCTTGACATTCATTGGAAACATGCCATTTCCCTATGAACTGCAAGGGAGAGCAGGAATCTAATTTGTGCTAAATGGAAAGCAAGGATTATCTTAATTACTTTACAGCTGCACAGCAGGACCAAATCTAAATAGGTTATACTCGTCTGCCCAACGGGACAATTTCTATCAAGATGCCTTGCTGTTTCTTCCTTGATAATAGACTCAAGTATCTTCCCCACTACAGAGGTTAAGCTAACTGGTCGATAATTCCCCATCTTTTGTCTACTTCCCTTTTTAAACTGTGGCGTCACATTTGCTGTTTTCCAATCTGCTGGGACTGCCCCAGAGTCCAGCGGATTTTGGAAAATTACCGCCAGTGCACCTGCTATTTCTCCCGCCATCTCTTTTGGTACCCTGGGATGCATTCCATCAGGGCAAGGTGACTTATCAATCCCTAGCTCCATTAGCTTGCCCAACACTACCTCTTCCGTAATAATGATTGTTTCCAGGTCCTCACCTACCTTCGTCTCTTTGTCAATTACTGGCATGTTATTAGTGTCCTCCACTGTAAAGACCGATACAAAATACCTGTTCAGTGCCTCGGCCATTTCATCATATCCCATAACTAAATTCCCCTTCTCATCCTCTAAAGGGCCAACGTTTACTTTAGCCACTCTTTTTCGTTTTATATATTTATAGAAGCTTTTGCTATCTGTCTTTATATTCTGTGCTAGTTTTTTCTCATGTTCTATCTTACTTTTCTTTATAGCTCTTTTTGTGGCTTTCTGTTGACCTTTAAAGTTTTCCCAATCTTCTAGTTTCATGCTGTTTTTGGCCACTTTGTATGCCTTCTCTTTCAATTTGATAGCCTCCCTTATTTCTTTAGACACCCATGGCAGATTACCCCTTTTCTTACAGTCCTTCCTTTTCACTGGAATATACTTTTGCTGAATACTTTGAAAAATTGCTTTGAAAGTCCTCCACTGCTCGTCAACTGTGCCACCATAAAATCTTTGTTTCCAGTCTACTTTAGCCAAATCCTCCCTCATTCTATTGTAGTTCCCCTTGTTCAAGCACAGGACCCTGGTATTAGATTTTATTTTCACACCCTCCATCTGTATTCTAAATTCAACCATACTGTGATGACTCCTTCCAAGAGGATCCCTAACTATGAGGTCATTAATTATTCCTGTCTCATTACACAGGACCAGATCTAGGATAGCTTGCTCCCTCGTCTGTTCCATTACGTACTGTTCAAGAAAACTATCACGGATACGCTCAACAAACTCCTCCTCAAGGCTACCCTGACCGAGCTGGTTCGACCAATCTACATGTAGATTAAAATCCCCCATGATAATTGCCGTACCATTTTTACAGGCATTAGTTATTTCTTTGTTTATTGCCCGCCCCAATGTGATGTTATTATTTGGTGGCCTATAGACTACGCCTATCAGTGACTTTTTCCTCTTAGAATTTCTAATTTCCACCCAAATGGATTCAACCTCATTCTCCATAGAACCTATATCATCACTCAGCACCGCCCTGATGTCGTCCTTGAATATCAGAGCTACACCACCTCCCTTACCTTCCTGTCTGTCCTTCCGAATAGTCTGGTACCCTTGGATATTTAACTCCTGGTCGTGACCATCCTGTAACCATGTCTCCGTAATGGCTACCAAATCATATTCATTCGTGATGATTTGTGCCGTTAACTCATCAACCTTGTTACGAATGCTATGAGCATTCAGGTAAAGTTCCTTTATGCTAGCTTTCTTACCCTCATGATTTCCAACATCTCTAATAATATCTCCTGAGTTATCCTTCCTTCTTGCTTCTTTCATAGTCTGCCTTGAACTTAAACCCTCCTGCACACATGCTAACCTGCTGCTTACCTTTTTATTTACCATCATACTCCCTGTTGTTTTCCCTTTCTCTTCCCCCCAACTCACTAGTTTAAAGTCCTAGTGACCACCCTATTTATCCTTTTCGCTAGAACACTGGTTCCAGATCGGTTCAGGTGGAGACCGTCCCATCGGTACAGATCCCTCCGGTTCCAAAACTGATGCCAATGCCCCATGAAATGGAACCCCTCTTTCCCACACCACTCCCTTAGCCATGTGTTTACTTCCCTAATTTTCTTATCCCTAAGCCAATTTGCACGTGGCTCGGGCAGTAATCCGGAGATTATGACCCTCGAGGACCTGTTCCTTAATTTCGTTCCTAGTGCTTGATAATCCCCAAACAGGTCCTCCATCCTAGCCTTGCCTAAGTTGTTAGTCCCAACGTGGACCACAACAACTGGATGCTCCCCCTCCCGCTCCAATATCCTTTCAAGCCAGTCAGAGATGTCCTGCACCCTGGCACCGGGCAGGCAACACACCATGCGGGACTCTCGATCCGGCTTGCAAAGGATACTATCTATCTCCCTAACTGTAGAATCCCCTATAACTACCACTTGTCTTTTTGCTCCCCCCTCTTGAATGGCCTTCTGCACCATGGTGCTGTGGTGAGCTGGCTCATCCTCCCCGCAGCCCTTTTCCTCATCCACACGGGGAGCAAGTATCTCGTACCTGTTGGATAAGGTCAAAAGCTGAGGCTCCTCCACTCCTGAACTCAGGATCCCCCTACCTGCCTCACTTGCAGTCACACCCTGTTGTCCCTGATCACTAACTGAATTTGAATTACTTAATCTACCAGGTGTGACTGCCTCCTGAAACAAAGCGTCCAGGTAACTCTCCCCCTCCCGGATGTGCTGCAGTGTTTGAAGCTCAGATTCCAGATCTTCAACTCTGAGCCGGAGTTCTTCCAGCAGCCAACACTTGCTGCAGATGTGGTCACTGCCGTTCACAATGGGATCAGTCAGCTCCCATATCATACAGCTATTGACACTGTAGTGATTGGGGAGGTGGTTATTCTGCATTGGAACAATCTTGCAGCTTAAGAAATTTCATTACAAAAACAAAACCTGCAAATAAATAGGCAATGTGAAATTTCAATCCCTGGACATTACGCTTATCTGTCTGGTTGACCAATAAGACATAGGACCAGAAATGAGCTTTTCGGTCCATCAAGTCTGCTCCGTTGCTCAGTTAGATCATGGCTGATCTGATAATCTATAACTTTGCTTTCCGGCTTTTCTCTATCAGCCTTCATTCCCTTCTCAATTTAAAAATCTGTCTGACTCAGTCCTGAATATACTTTTGACAGCCCTCCATGGTAAAGAATTCCACAGATTCACTATCTTTAGAGCATAAATGCCTCCTCATCTCTGTCTTAAATGCGCAACTGCTTATTCTGAGATTAAGGACACCTCCCATTTTTGTAAATTCCAAAAAGTACAGGCCCAATCTACTCAGCCCTCTCCTCATAAAATAATCCCTCCATATTCAGGATCAGTCTAGTGAACCTTCTCTGGGCTGGCGCCAGTGATTATATATTTTTACTTAGATACAGAGACCAAAATTATGCACGGTATTCCAACTGACTTCTGACAAGTAACTTGTATAGTTTTAGCAAAACCTCTGTACTTTTATAATTTATTCCCTTTGGAAAAAAGCCAACATTTCAATTGCCTTCCCTATTGCCTGCTGAACCTGTCGATGCTAGCTTTTTGTGATTCTTGCACTAAGTGCCTCTTCTCTGTGTCAAATATTATGCGGATCCTTTACTTTTCCTGCCAAAGTGCATAATCTCCCAGTTCCCCTCGTTACATTTCGTCTGTCAAGTTTTTGTCCACTCACTTAATTTCCCATGAAGGATACATTAAATGAAATAAATTGTGAATTTTCTGGAAATATTGGAGTAAATACTGAAGTTGCTGTGTTTGTTCCGTGCTCCGAACTCCATTCCATAGCTACTGACCCCATTTCCTGTCCCTGACAACATATTGAAAATGAATGAGTTTGTTTGCAGTCATGGCATCACATTTGATCCTGAGATGAGTTTCCAACTTCTCTTGTGCCATCTCTAGGGCTGCCTTTTTCACCTCCATAATAAGTCTCTGGGAGCACAGATTGAAATCCCATCACGACAGCTGACAAATTTTAAACTGAATTAACAAACTTGGAAATGAAAACGAGTCTCCACAAGGGTGACTTTGAAACTATCATCTGATATTGTAAAGTCCCAAATGGTTTACTAGTACTAAATCTGGTGCTATGACCTGATCTGCCCCTACATGTGAGTCCAAACCCAGAGCAATGTGCTTGACTCTTAACTAGTCCTATAATGCCTAACAGCTCACTCAGTTCAGGAACAATTTGGGATGGTGAACAAATTCTGGCCAAATCAGCAATACCTGAATCCAATGATAGAATAAAAACTGTAGCATCAAGAAATTTCAAATTGACAATGAAGTCAAAATGGGTTTAATGGTGTACTTAATAAATTTGTTCAAGTACAGTTGGACAATTACTGTAAGGGATAATTATTGTGACGTGTTTAGAGCGTATGAGCTTTGACGATTTGCTCTTAATCTTAAATATTAATTGTGATACCTGGTAACGTAATGGAAATTGAATCATTTATCAATGTCTTGATGCCTCTCTGATACTAATCTTTAATAGTTGATAAATAGGAGAATTCTAGGTACAAACGGTCAGTCCTGCAGGCTGTTGGAGACCAGGTTCACTGCAGTTGAGGATGGCAAATAATTGTGCAAGTTTACACAAGAGAAAATGTGGGCACTGGTGTTCATATTGGAAAATTCATGAAAAGTCCATGCAAAGTTGACATTTTCATAAATGAACTTGGTTTAGAAGACAGAAGCATATGTTGGAATGTACTGATATTAGTGTCTTCAATCCAAATTTTCATTACATTTTATTATAAATTCTTATCTGTATTTGTGTGTGTAAGTTTGTCACTAACTGCATGCTTCTGCCAATTGTAAGGCTGTTGAGCTCGTGCTAGATGGAGTGTGTAATTACACAATATCAAGTTTAGGTGGACAGTTTCCATTATAAACGGGGATGTGAGAATTTATAATGTGAAAATTTGACGGTTAGGCTCAGATGCATGATTTTAATACATTGCTAATTACAAATAGTGTTATTCTCTGGTCTCTCTCTTTTGTCTTTGCCTTGTTGCTTTTCGCTCTTATCTCTTTTGCTGTCCTGCAACTTCTCTTTTTCTTGTGTATATATATATTTTCTTTGTTTAGGATGCTATGATTTGGTGTGGCTCAAAAAGAGTTATTATGGATGCTCAGTCTCTGCTTTTAGGTTTGGGACTGCATGGAAATTATGCCTCTCAACCATACTTTTCTCCAGTTCCCTTGTACTTCACTCACTGTTTCAAACGCCCCATGTACTCGTCACTGTCACTACCTTAACTCTGCCTCTGTCCTTTCCGTTCCCACTGGTGCTCAATTCACTGACTTCCCTTTTCCCTTCCTGTTTCCCTCAGGCTTTGTTAAGATTCAACTTTTTAAATGAAGTACGTAAGAAAGGAAACTGTTTTTCCATTTCTGTCTCGTGGGTATTAGAAATTAGAAGCGCTGTTTCACAGCTGTACGTGATCAGCATTGTCTTTCTGTCAAAATGACACCAATGAGACACCAGTGCCTGCAAGATTGTTGTCTGATAACTCACACCTGTGTCTGACTTTTTTGTGTCAGATCATGTCTGTGTTTTGCACATTTGGTTGATAAATCTTCCAATAATGTTGAACAGTAAAAATGATTTATCTATAAACCATATTCTCTTCTATCTATTCACTCAAACATATAATTCCAGCCACTTGCACATGCTCAATTTAATCACTCCACCAATGGTGGCCTTGCCTTCATTTGTCATGGCATGAAGCCCAAGGCCCATGAACTCGTTTTGGTCCTTTGAGATGTTCATTGACCAAAGTTTTGATCACCTGTTACAATATTTCTTTATTTGGCGATCAAATCCTGTTTTATAATGCAATGATGCATCTAGGGATGTTTTAATGTACCATACAAGTTAAACTGCTGTGCTTCACCATTTTCAGTCTTTTTTTTGTTTCCTTGGGGTTATTCTATTCCCTTCTCTTAGCATTAATGTTTCATATTCTTAATAAAAGAAGAGGTGGAGGTATCTTCTCTTAAAATTAGGACTCTTTTTCTGGACACCTCTTATATCCAGCACCACAAAACAAGCCTGTAAATGATCCCTTGCTCCTCTAATTGACCATGACATGAATTTATGTACATTGGTTAGGGAATCAAATCACTGTAATTAGTTTGTTAAATTAAGATGAGGCTCATCATGTTCTCCTAGTCTTTAGGTAAGGGAATAGTAAATGATATATTCATAGTATAACTTAAGATGTAAACCGCAAATTGTGATTTTATATTAGAATAAAGCAATAAAATGTCAATATAGCAAATTCTGCTTCTCAACAGATCATTGGAAAATCAATCTGAATATATGTTTAAAAGTGAGCTCTTGCTAACTCTTAATACTAAGCTTGGTCCAATGTCTATGTAAAAATTAAGACACAAGATTCAACTAGCCATGTTGGATCTTCAGCCTGTAACTCTAATGGCTCTGAATAGCTGGAAGAGCACAGCCTGAAATGTACCTCATTTGAATTTCAAAGCTAAGATGTGGAAAATCAAATGGCTGCTCTCATTATCAAACAAAGCTGATCAAAAGGTGAATGTCAACCACATACTGGACACATTCATTTAGAACACTTAACAAAGCCCTTTTGTTTTACATTTAATTATTACCAGCAAAAAACAATCTGTATTTAATGTCTTTTTACTGGCTTTGCAATCAACATACTCTTTTTGGAAGTATACACATGTTGTGCTTAAATTATTTCGCATTGTCACTTGGAGGTCCATTGTGCCTGACCTATGTGGGAACTTTAGGATTGATGCACATTTTTTTGTTGCAGAATGGGTGTGGGTTGGCGGGTGCGTTGTTTATAATGTAATCTTGCATCCACACTCGCTTCTGAGGGGACACCAAAGACCCCTTCCAGCTCAAATGCGTAGGTCCTTCAGAAAATCAAAACACCTCGTCCCCTCAAATTTCTAATTTAGAATAATATCAATAAAGCAGACACGACTGATTACATAGAATTAATAGCAACGGTTCCATTTTGAATAGATGTGGAAATTATTATAACTAGTATGCACGCTTACACGGTAGCACACAACTGCATTTATTTGAGTTGAGCTTTGGATTAATTTTTTGAAAATTCTGCACGTTTACTAAACTTTGTGATAGATTGTTTGTATAGATTTGGCCTTAGGGCGGGACGGTGGTTCAGTGGTTAGCACTGCTGCCTGTCCGCGCCAGGGACCTGGGTTCGATTCCAGCCTCGGGCGACTGTCTGTGTGCAGGTTGCACGTTCTCCCTGCGTCTGTGTAGGTTTCGTCCGGGTGCTGCGGTTTCCTCCCACAGTCCAAAGATGTGCAGGCTATGTGAATTGGCCATGGTAAATTGCCTGTAGTTTTCAGGGATGTGTAGATTAGGTGGGTTATAGGTGGATGGGTCTGGGTGGGATGCTGTGAAGGTCGGTGTGGAGTTGTTGGGCCGAAGGGACTGTTCCCACACTTTAGGGATTCTAAGTTTAAATTAATGTGAATCCATTGAAATAACATTTAACAATTGTCACTGCTTCACATAAGGGACAATCAACTGGGTTTTTGGCTAAAAGCATATCATTGCCTTTACTTCTGACTAATTCATTTTCAGGTATCTGCTTTTGCCTCATCAGAAGATAAAAACAGGCACTTTTCATCTGACAGTAAAAGACAAAATTTCTCCGCAACAGAAATTTCAGAGCACAGTACAAGGAAAAGGGGTCGGCCACCAAAGGAGGAAAAGGTTGGTTTTGGGTAGAAACAATTCTTAAATTGTCTTAAATTTGTATTCTCCCCATAGAATTTCCTCCCTAAGGGCGTTGTGGGTCTACCTGCAGCATGTGGACTGCAGCCATTCAAGACATATGCAATTGGAACATCTCATGGAGGAATTAAAACATCTATTCAATTAAATCAGTTGATGAAAACATGGTAATGTTATGTACAGGAAATATATGGCTTCTTTGTGAAATGTAGTGATCTTTGTTTTCTTCCTTCCATTTAAGGATGCTTTCCCTGAGCCATCCACAGTGAAAAGATTGGTTACGGGTCCAGTCGCAGGATACAAATGGAAGGTGAGCCACAAATTTCTTAAAGTCAGAGGTTTACGGTTTTAGGTTGTTATTGACACATCAGTGAATTAGAGGACTGGACTCGTGCAGTTGTGTTGGAAATGGCCAGGGTTTTGGCAGTAAATCTAGGGAACCTGGATCTGTGTTTTGGTTTCTGAAACTTTACTAGCTGGTAACTCTAGAATATTGTTGCCATTAAGTCATAAATTATTGTTTTATTTTCTTCAATCAGAAAACTATACAGATATTTTGTACTATTATCCAGCTGCGGCATCTGGCATAATGTGCGTTATTTATGCTGCCCTTTTGAAAATTTAGCTTGTGCAGCCCAGGTCTGGCTCCTAAAGAGAAGTATGCTTGCCAAACACTGTACTCGTCTTCAAAGGTTAAAAAGCAATCTATGTTGTGTAGGAAAATATGTGCCTGGGTTGGAACCTTTGTTTTTTTTTTTCTCAACCACTGATATGATCGAGCTTTTCCCCAGTTATTGTCATTTTAAAAGTTTAAAAATTAAATTTGCTTGCTGAAATTTTTCAGTCCCTGCTGTTTTTATTGAGGCTTGATATAGAGGGTTAGAACAGTTTTCAACAAGTCCTAAGTGATAAATAGATCCTTGTATTCTCTGATTATAACACACTCTCGTCTTCGGGAGTTGAAAATATTCACTATACTAATCCCAACTTGTTTTCATTTGGGTACCAGGCGTTTTGTAACAGAAATTGCCTGTAATGCCTGGTATCGCAAGTGATGACTGAGTGTTCATAAAGTGGCAAGTGTGTTTGACAGGAAATATTATTTTGATCAAGCCGTATTAAGTACAGGTTTTTGTCTTCATGTGTTTTGTTTAATTTCCACTGGAATAAAAAAAACAGGCTGGTAGACTACTAGGTAGGATAGATATGGAAGCTTGATAGGCTATGGAAGCTTGCTAGGCCAGGGATGGAAAGAAATTAGCACACTTGAATATTTCACAAATTCAGAAGTTTTTTTAATGTCCAAGAAAACATTAGTTGCCTTTAGAGCATTGCTGAAGCTAGAACTTGACAAAGTGTAGCATTCCATTCTTCATAATTGAACATTTTGGCTTTCATAACTCCAGTCACATCCTACATAACCAATTTCACCCTGTTTGCTGAAAACTGCAATATTAGTCATGGACAACTTGGTTTACAAAAAATGTAAACTGTTATAATGTAGAATACTCTACCTGCTGGAACTGCCTAGAATTTTAGTTTGATAGTTTGAAAAACTCCAGGGTTTACGTACTTTTTAGGAACTCCTAATGTGTGAGAGGGCTGAAGTGTTGCAATGTTTTAATCACAACTGTAATAGAATGATTACGATTGAACAGTTCGAAATGGTTCTTTGTGTATCTGTGTGTGCAAGTGTAGTGCAATGGAAATAATAATTCAATTTAACAATGGATATGTTGATACACATTGAGAGGATATTGGCATTTGACTAAAATTAATTTAATTCCTTGTATGTGTACAACATTGTGATTGTGAAGGGAGTGTTTCAAATTCAGGATTCTTGTCTTACATATTTTCTTGATGTACAGTTGTGATCATCATTCCCATTAGCAGTCTGAGCACCATGAGTTCAGAGGCATAGGGTATATTGTACCCCAGAGGGATAACAATAGTGTCCTCTTAAAATAGATTTTGGTGTTGTTTTTGCATGTATGCTTCTGCAGGCTCTTTGAAAATATTTCTAGAGCCGGGTATAAATCATGATATTGTTTTATTTCACAGCAAGCAAGTTTGCAAACTAAGTATCAATGAACAGACACAATGTGTGCAATTTGACTTTATGTAATAGTACAAAATAACATGCTCCCATTCCCTACATCAGGTTATCCTTGTAGATGTAAACAGACATACTTCAAAATATTCTCTGTCCTTTCTGAATGTAAGGAGAACTGGCACTCTCAGCCTTCTTTAAGAGTTTGACCACACATAGATCTTTCTCTTTTAATCCCAGTTCACAGTTTTCAATTAAGCCTTTGCCTTTACTGAGCACCCAGGAGTAGGGTTTATCCCCTTCACTTAGGGACTGAAGTTCTTGGGAAGCAACTTCAAAACAGTTCAATGGCATTTAATTGTACTTTGTCTCAGTGCCACATTTATTTCAATTTGTGTGAATGCACTTGACTTTTAAGACTCCAATCTTAAGTATAGTTTTCATCTGCCCTGACTTTTTCTGAGGACAAATCATTAGAAAATCCAAAATGATGACCTAGGAGCTTCCACGTAGCATTGGGGGATTGGGGCTGGTCCCAATTTGAGTAAATTTTAGACTGAGCCTAAATTAGTTCAACTGCCATCTGGTCAATGAATGGAGTTTTGCCAGCATTTCAGAAGTCAGGTTAGTGATTTTGTAGACACCAAAGAATGTTTGTTTTTAGGAAAGTAGTTTGACTGGAGAAAATGAACTAGTTAAAGTTTACTAAATTGGTGCATTCAGAATTGGAATCATTAGGGGACAAGTAAATGTAAAAGATTTGTTAAAACAGAAGTCACACTCTCATGATGTACTCCATGCAAATGCATGAATTGATAACAGATTTAGTCAGGAGAGTTTGTACAGAATCAAATACCAAAGAACTTTGTGAAATTCTGAAGAAGAGTAAATTTTTTTTAGCGTATCCCTCTTTAGTTAAATATTGCTTGCTGAATGGTTCCAGTTGTGGGTTTATGTATCTTTTTGGTTGTTGATTTACCCATAATGAACCTAGAGACAAGAGAGAAAATTTCTGGTTCTGTTCTTCCACTCATCACAAATAGAAATCTTCAGTTATAAGATCAGAGTATGATTCCTCACCATGCTCAGATTTGGTTTTTCTAATTGCAGCAAGTAAAGGACGACCCTCACTTTCATCACTTTCTGCTCAGTCAGTCTGAGAAGGTAAGATGGTGTATTTAGTGTGCAGTCTAGTAGTGCAATTTTTTTGCCAGTGATAAACAAAACACCAGACAGCAGAAACCTCTGGTCTCCTTTTTTTTAATCTATGCTTCACTTTTCCATTTTCATTTTCCTAGATTTGTTGCTTCTGTGCTTTACTTCATTGGTGAGAAGACTTTGGTTACCTGCCAGTTTGTTTAGTTACCTGAGAGTGTAACTGCTGCAGAGAAAGTTGGTGTAGTATTGTTTTTATTGCACTCAGGATTCATGGAGCATCCTGCTTTATTACACAACCAAAGTTAGGTTCACCGCTGGTTTAGTAGAGGTGGTGGCAGAAATGGAATGAAGACGGGTAATTCAGAGACTCGGGCTAATGCTCTGGGGACATGAGTTCCAATCACACCATGACAGGTGGTAAAATTTGAATTTAAGTAAACTAGTTTGGAACTGAAAGCTAGTCTTGGTTTTGGTGACCCTGAAACCATCAACAATTGTTGTAAATAAAAATCATCTGATTCACTAATGATCTTTAGGGAAGGGAATCTATCATCTTTACCTGGTCTGACTGACTTATGACTCCAGATCCACAGTAATGTAACACTCAACTGCCCTCTAAAATTGTCTAGCAAACTACTCAGTTCAAAGGGCATTTGAGGATGTCCTCATCTTGAAAAAGAATAAGCAAAGGTAACAAAAGGAAATTATCCTATTGCCAGAACGTAACTAGATTAACCTGTTACTATGCCATAAAAATATTAGTCAGTTAATTTCTGGTGCCTTTACTTTCGCTTAAATATCCTGAAGTTTGAATAAAGTATAAATCCTAAGGTTAATTATTTGATTTTTCACATAGTTTTGAAAGTTCATTTAAATTTTAAAAATATTGCATATTATTTCACCAAATGTTTAGGTCTATTAAACTTGAGAAAAAACATTTCTTCAAAGACCTCCCAATGCGGCAAATGCTTTTGTAACTAGTAAAGCTTAAAGTCTAAAATTTAAAAGCTGCTTTGAGTTTGCAAGTAGGTCTATGGGGAGGGAAATTTAAATAAAATCAAAGACTCATTTTGATGCAAACTGCATTTGTAATGCTAATGATTTGGTGTACTTTAGGCCTGTAAAATCGTATGAAGAGCTAATTTTGCTGGGTTGTAAGGTTGGAAAGGGGGTGTTGATGATGAATTATCAGCCCTCTCACCCCTCTGGGATGAACCAGAGCATCAGACTTCAGCGAGCTGGCGGATTAATGGAGAATATAGAAGTCGCAGTCTGTCATTGAGTTGTTCCATTACACTGTGCTGTGGACTTTTGAGTCAGTAATCACTGAAACGTATTTGTCAAGGATTTCCCCTGTCAGCGGTTAGAAGCCAGATTTTAAAAGTTAAAGCATTTACAATCAGGTGTATTTGGATTTCTAATGGTAATTTGAGTAATAATTGTTTCCCAAGAAGAGATGCAATCTGGCAAGCATTACATCATATTAGTGGAGTGTTGCTGAGTATTTCCATTTTTGATTAATTACCAGAACTTTATTTTTAAACAAACTTCAAAAAATTATATCCAAAATTTTTCAAAATATTTCCATTTCTGTCTTCACTTTATACGTATATATTCACATACATAAATAAAAAGAACAGCGCAACACAGGAGCAAGCCCTTCAGCCCACCAAGTCAGTGCCGACCATGTTGCAATTCTAAACTAATCCCATCTGCATGTATACAGCCATATCCATCTATTCACTGACTGTTCGTGTTGTCTGTCCTAATGCCTCTTAAACATTGCTCTCGTTTCTGTTTTTACCACCTCCTTTGGCAACATGTTCCAGGCACCCAAAAACGTGCCCCGCACATCTCCTTTAAACATATCCCTGCCCCCGCCTCCTCACCTTAAACTTACACCCCCTAGTATTTGTCATTTCCTCCCCAGGAATAAGACTCCAACAATCCACCCTATCCTTGTCTCTCATAATTTTATGTATCAGGTCACTCCTCAGTTTCCGATGCTCGAGCAAAAACAATCTGTCTGTCCAACTTCTCCTGACAACTAATACAATCTATTCCATGCAACATCCTGGTAAACTACTTTTGTACCCACTCCAAAACTTCCACATCCTTCCTATTGTGTAGCTATTTTTATACTTGATGTAAAGTTTTAAAAACATGCCTTAATTTTCGTGTTTTTCATTTCCTTGGCTGTGTGAGAATTCTTTAATGTGATTGGCTGCTTGATGAGAACTGACTCCATGACAGTAGTTTCCAATAAAGAATGCCGCAATGCATTGCAGGCAGAGTTCAGACTCTTGCTGAAGTTGTTATATCTCTCAGCTAAGCTTTCTTTGAGTTCAGTGCTCTTGCTTCACCACCAGCTGCTAACACTGGATTGAAATATTCTTTGAAGGTATAAGTCAAAACTGGGAGAAATGTTTTCATTTGAAGCAGATGCTGCTGAACATTTATTAGTTGTGATAATTGTTTCGCATGAAGTGTGCTGGTCTTGTGACACAAAATACGACCAAATTACTCAGTTTGCAAAGCACTTTTTAAAAGCCTGAAGCTCCTCCAATTGCATATTCCCCTTTTCATTCTGAGCCTTCTCGTACCACCACTTTGGTTGAGAACTCAAATGAGCAAATTGCACTCTAGCTGTCCCTTTTGAAGTGTTCTGCAAGGATGACCACTTCTTGTTAGCAAATGTCGGGGTGCCCGGGGGTGTTTTTCTTATCCATTTGGAAAGCATTACCATTACCAATAATCTAGTGCCTGAAATCAACATGCCCTGTATTTGGTGATGACAGCAATATTTGGGCATAGCACATTGATACTTTAAATTATAATAACAGTTCAATGTGTTAATCACCCCTTCCCATTCTATATATTCAAAGATTCAACTGAACAGAGACCCATCTGGACTGTGGTTTTGAATATAGAATGGGGGTACTACTTTGTAATCTACAAAAGTAATTTTGCATAAAAGGTAAGGAAAGTGCCTGGCGAGTGCTTTTGTATTTAAATAACTGAAAACCAGTTTTTGTGTTTGATTTGGCATTTAGAGTGAGGCAGATTATTGGGAAAAGCAAGTTGAATGGCACCAATAATAACAAGGTGCAAATTAAACATAAATATGAGACTTGGGAAGACGCAATATTTCCAAAATCAGATCATGGGTCAAGAAACATGAATAGGGCTGTATTTTTCCAATCAATGAAGTTCACTGGGGAATGCTTAACAAATTTGTGCTGTGTTCTTCGTACAATTTTGTAACTGGCATTAGCCCATTTAAGATAATCTATGACCTGATTAGTAAACAACAGAACAATTTAATGGATATTATTTGGAAGAATAATATTTGAGAATGGATTTAAATATTCATTTGTTAACCATATCAATTCTAAAATCTATACTATAAACTTAGCAGTCACCTAATGGAAATTGGTGAAAATCATATTTTGTTTTTGCACAAATTTTGGGAGGCTGTAGGCCTCAAAAATCCTTAATTCTTAACACCCAAGCAGTGGTCACAATTTATGTATGTAACTGAATGGCCAATGAAATTTATCAAATTTGATTAAAGAAGTTTTTTTAATTAGGGCCACCATTTAAAAGCTCCATTTGAAACTGTAGTTGTTTGCTTTAGTTCTTTTTTTAAGTGGGTGACCTTGACTATATGTATATTAGCACTTTTTAATATAGTGTTCAGTGTAAGCCACTTCAGTTTGAATTCTTGTTCTCTGTAACACTATTTTAATGCATTTAGTCACATGAACTTAATGCATTCTTAACTCGGAAGATTAAATTGACAGTGGGATGGTGTGATCCAAGCTGTTAGGTCCTCTGTATTTGGTATAAACTTCAGAGTGACTAGGCAACAAAGAATCTTTTAACTTTCTAATCCTATAATTGAAATACATTTTATTTGGAAGTGGGTGAGTGGTAATTTGAAGGATGGGGTCAAGGAAAATGTTTGCTTTTGGTGGTTACAATAGCTGTTGTCCTCGTGTGTGTGTGTGTGTGTGTGTGTGTGTGTGTGTGTGTGTGTGTGTGTGTCTCTATTTTCATATATAGAGGGGCTAGTTTTAGAGATTCTGTAGAAATGTTCTTTTTAATTAGGCATCTTAACTGACACCAAAATAATTGAGATATCGACTTAACGTGTGGACACCTGAAATAATAACCAGATAACACTATGTTTATAAGATTGTATCATGTAAATGCCTGTTGAAGTTAAAGTACTTATCACCAAAGAAGTTATTTTCTTTCTGTGGTTCAAAAATATTAATTCCATTTTTATTCATTAACAGTCGGGGTCATGTTCTGCTATCATTCAAAAGCTGAAGACAACAGCAGAAGAGGTTGGTAATATGTTTGCGTTTTTCATTTTTAATTGTCTTTTGGAATAAGATAACTAGAGTTAGCTCTTGCTCATCCTTCCAAGCAGAATCATAAAATATTATAAGGCAGAAGGATGTCATTTCCAAGTGTTTTTTTCAAGTGCATAAGTTGCCCAGTTTAATCTTGTTCTCATATTAACTTTCATTCACTTTAATGACTCTCCTTGGTCAAGCAACTATTTTCCCCTTGTAAAAAAATGGACTTCAAAGGTTTGTGACAATGAAATTCTCATTTCTAGTATTAATAAAAATCAATTTAAATACTGCAATAATTTTTTGAGTTCCCCTTAAATTATTCTTGTGACTAACTCAAAAATTTATTTTGAGCCTTCTCAACTCCAGTGCAAATAACTAACTTTCCAGATCTGTTCACAAATCTATGCTGTATACTTTTCTGCTTCACAAATCTATCCTGTATACTTTTCATTGTCCTTCATTTCCTTCTCATGTGATGACCACAATTTTACACATTAGTTCAGTGTGCACCGATGAATATCTTGTATGTTCCACGTCAACTTCTTCTGTTTCCCTGGATGCAAAACCATGGATTTGCATTATTTCTGGCCCTGTCTTCTCAACTGTTAACTTTTAATGACCGGTAATAGCAGAATCCCTATATTCTCTATTGCATTTAAAGTCTTGCATTTGTTCTCATCACAGACATAGTGGGCCAAAGGGCCTGTTCCTGTGTTGCAGTGTTCTGTGTTCTAATGGTATGTTTCCTTTCTCTCCTGTTATTCAGTTAGTTATTCTATGTTGGAACTGGATCTGCCAGTACCGTTTTTTTCCAAGTTATCTGTGCTCTCACAGTAAATACAATCATGACAATTTGATATTTCCTGAATCCATATAGATGCATATAGTATCTTTAAGAAGTGAGCATTGGTCACCCTGAAACAGCAATTGCTCCACCGTTTCAGGTTGAGAAGCTGCCATTTACTGTTACCCAGTATTTCTGTCCACCAATAATCTCTAGCTGATTGTCATAATGCACCATTCTCTTTACCATGAATTTCTGTATGATGCCTTACAAAACAATTTTTGGAAAGCATAAATCATTTTTTTTCATTTGTTAGTTTTATAATGTTCTTTTGGGTTAATCAAATACAGCCTGTCTTTTAGAAATCCACCTCGACTCTTCTTGATCTGACTCGTGTTTCTTTTTGTGCTTTGTGGTTTATAGGCAACCAAAGTATGATCACAGCCTATAATTTTCATCTTTTTTGAAAAGAAATGTCACATTTACTATGTTACCATCCTCCGAGACAACTTTCCATCTCAATCACTTCTTTTAAAATGTTAGTTTATGGGATATGGGTGTCACTGGCCAATCAGCATTTATTGCACATCCCTAATTGCACTTAATGAGGAATCTTGGATGTAAATTTTGGATTGTGTTGTTTTCCCACCTTATGCTTGAGCAATTTTCTTTTCATGCATTTTGTCTTCAAATAGGCGTGTCTCATATTTATTCCACATCCCACTGCTGGTGCTTCTGAACTTGAGCTTCCTTTTCATTTTAAGCTTGTCTTCTTGTCTAGATTGGAATTAGTTTGTTCCTCTAGATTACAACATAATTTATCCTTGCACCTGATGCCTCCTACGCAGTATGACCATAGTATGACTTCTTCTCTTTCAGTTAAAGTGACTTAAACTCAGCATTTGTCTGGGAATTCGGTGTCACTTCTGATCCTCCTGGGCTTGGGAATGGTGCAGGAACTCTATTTACAATTGCTGCATTTTTTGTTTCAATATAGAGACCTTTTATATGTACATAACAGATTTATATGACTTTGCATTTATTCCAGAAATAAACCAGATTTCCAGCCTGTTTTATTTGACCAACAATTCATCACAAAAGTAGATGTATTAATAGCAAGGAAAGTACATTTGCAGAAATAGTTGTTGATTATGTTTTAAAATAGGGAAACAAGGTCTTAGTTTCAGAATAAAATAATCCTTTTGACACTGTAACTAATATCTGCTTTATTATCTCAAAATCAGTACATGCTGTAGTGTGATGGCAGGCAATGCACAAACCTTTCATTCTCTGTTTTATGTACATGTGAGAAGGTGGCTTTATGAAACGTTCATTCTACAATAAAGAAGTTGGTGCTAGAGCAAAACAGGCAGTAAGGCGGAATTAACCCTGATTCAGCATTGCTTCAGGAACTGTTATCCTTTGCTGAACTCTGGATATAGGTATTCTGTTAAATTTGCTAACTTGAAACTGAGTGGAGAATGTTGGTAATTCTGACCTTAAAGGAACTAATTAAGTGTCATCATTCCTAATGTAGCATTCATATCAGTGTAAAAATGTGCATAGTGATAATAGCACACTTTGCACTATGTATTCAGTTTGTAGCAATGCTGTGTATGTACACATGTATTATTGTTATCCAAAATTTATCCCAGTAGTCGTATGGTTACACTTAAAATATGGAATTGGTGAAGGTGATCCTTTTAAGGGTTCCTGGTTGAAATGTCACCTTGGAAAGTTAGTGAGCTATTTTCATTTAATCTCCACAGGAAGCAGAGTCAACATCCATTCAGGCAGCTGACAGTACAGCAACCAATGGTAGTGTGACTCCGACAGACAAAAGGTAAGGGTTTGAAAATGTTTAAACAATCTAAAATATCATCATCTGTTTGACAAAATTATTTCCTAAAGTCAAACGTGCCCAAAGTAAAGGGTGAAGTCACAAATTACCGAAACATAATTGCTGAAAGTCTGCTTTATTGAAAGGATCTGCAAATACTTGATTTGACAACCAGTCGCACATTTTGGCAAAATAGCTGCATCATACTTAGAAAGAGAGGGATAGAGAGCCTCATTGATGCTTTTAATTGCAGGTGGAGTTATGTTCAGTTGTGTCTCAATTGCTTTTCCAATAAAATGAGTACAGATCGTCAGTACTATTGAGTTGTGTTTCATTGATCAGAATAAATATCTAGTAATTAACCACTTCTGCATAAAATGGTCATAAAACTAAAATTGTGACCGCAGAAGGCTTCCCAGTCTTCTGGATTTATATGTTTACCTCTAGGGCTTTCATTACAATTCATTGTGTGTTAAACAGTATGAATCAACCGCAGGACTTGATTCCTTGCAGTTGCTGAGTCTAGTTTAATGTATTGAACTTTGCTGCTGTTTAACTAGTGGCTTATTCAGTCTGACATTTGATCTTCTTTCCACTTGTTGCAATAATTGAGAATCAGCCCACTTATACCATTCAAACCTTAGTCAGATGCAACCAGATTTACCGGAATTATTGTTTAAGGTTGAAAACCTGTACCTTCCTTTTGATGTTCCTTTTATATTTTCTGTGACTGAATATTTTGGGTGAATAAAATTCTCTCACTGATTGCTAAAATGTTCAACAGAAGATGGCCACATTGCAGTTTTGTCATATTGTATTAGACAAGAACATCTCTGGCTAGGTAGTGATTATGGACTTGGAGTTACAGGGAATTTGTGCCCACAAGACATTTCCTCTATCGATACAGCAATACCAAAAGAATCTAATTTGCATTATATGTCCGTTAAGTTTGTATATTGATGTGGTCACTCCCAAGTGTAACTTCAAATCCTGGTACGGACAAATCGCTGGATTTTAAAAGTAAACAGAAAATCAGTGATCCCATGAAATTTGCTTTTGTCTAATGACATATTCATCAACTAAATAACTTCTTAGGTTATGGATGATGCTGCTGGCTGTCAGCATATAGCTTTGACCTGGTCTTTATGCTTTTTCTGAGATGCCATAAATGGTACTGAGACACAACAATCATTAGTATCTTAACTTCTGACTTTATGATGGAAGATGGTCACTGATGAAGCAGCTCTAGGTGGTTGCCTACCCTGAATATCTCCTGCAGAAATGTGTTGGGGCTAAGTTGATTGTCCTTCACAAGAAATATGTCTATATATGCTGTTGTTGATTTCAATTTTGCCAAGGTCCCCTGCTCTTGCATTCAATCACATGCTGCCTTGATGTTAATGGTAGCACCATTCAGAACTTATCCATGCTTGGTCCAGTGTTGTAACCAGGTCTGGAGCCACATGGCTGTAGTGAGTCTCAAATTGAGCATCAGTTCACAAGTTATGGTTGATTATGTACCTGTTGACAAAATACCAGGAATATAAGGGTACTGTTTTTTAAGAAAGTGTTGGGTTGGGGGAGTAGGATACAGTGAGCTTAATACATGTAAAAGGTATTTTAATTGGAGAAAATCAAGAACTTAGGATGGATAGATGTCTAATCAATCCCAGAGTTTTGGAAAGAGGTAGATGGTGTAATCAGTAAATGACTAAATCATGAATTTTAGTTGTAATTTACTCTTGATTCAAGAATCATGCTTTTTGACTTCAAACATTATAAATGCCATTCCCTTACTCTCAAATAGAAAGAATGGGAAACCACGTAATGACGCAAGGTGGTTTAACATCTGTTATGTGGAATTTCCTGAAATCTGTCATCTGAGATGGTGTGAATGGGCACTTGGACAATTATAAGATGATCAAACAGAGTTGGTGTGGATTTGTGAAAGATGTGCCATCTCTGAAAAACCTAGGTGAATTTTCTTGAGGTCACTAGTGCAATAGATAAATAAACCTGAGGTTGACTAAATGGACCTTAGAGTACATTTGACCCAAGCCCATTTGCATTATTTACAAATAAAATTGACAGCAATAAATGAAAGATAATAATAGCTTAAATTGAGGTCAAGTAATTTAAGCTTGGTTCGGATTCCTCTGAGTTTAGCTAGTCAAGTGATGATCTAATCAGTGTTTGTTTAATTAAAAATGATCTGTTTGCAAAAAAACAATTTCCCCTCTTTGGAGAATTGAAAACAATGGGGTATCTTTTAAAAATTGGACTGAATTGTTTTGGAGGAAAATTCAGTGGCACTTTTTCCAGTCCAAGGATAGTGCAAATCTGGAACATCTCCAAAAAGTGGTGCATGCTTTGCCAAATTTTTGAGATTTGTTCTTCGTCAGATAAGACGACGAAGGGATACAAGTTAAAATCAGGCAAGTGGGATTAAGCTATAGATGAACCATGATGTTCTAGCTGAAAGGACTGAAGAACCAATTCCCATTCCTGTCTTCATACATGAGTAACTTTGTAAGTTCACTTTTAACATATTTAGTAAGTCATTAAGCTGAAAGGGCTAAATGCTGATTTTTCAATGGATTTGGCCGCTGAAGTTAGAGTAAAAGTACCAAATGATCAGCTTTTCTTATCAAATCAATTTACAACAAAATGTAAATTGTACATATTTATGTGTATGGAGTAGCCAGCTCTTTAATGAGTAGATTTTAAATAGAATGCTTTAATTTTAGGCTTTACTTGGAAAGCAAGCTATACAGATTTATGAACCAAAGTCTAAGTTATAAATTGTAGTTCTTTATGCTGATTACTTGAATGCTTAATTTAGTTGTACTACAAGGTAGTAATTGTGAAAGTATTAAATGGTGAACAAATCCAGAGCCTAGAGAGGCTTCATCAATGTTCTCTGATTAAATAACTGAGAATTAATCAATGTCAATATTGCCTGTTTTCTGTTTTTCTGAATATTTGTGTAAGCTGATCTAATACTGGGGAACCAAGTTGAAAGAGCTGCTGAATTAGCATTTGGTTGAAGTGACTTGATCATTTAAACATCCTGTGTTTGTAGCCAATAGCTGAGATGCCTTGTATTGGGTTCAGTAATCAAGGCAACAAATTCTTTCTACTTCATCAACTCAGATGAAAACTGCATACTTAGGGAAATCAAAAAAACCTTCCACTTAATTTTGCAGCTATCTGTTTCAGTGATGATACTCCTTCAAACCTTTGTGTGAATTATTTTGATAGTTTCTGTTCTATGCCATTTTAAATTATGAAATTACTTTCCAGTTACATTTACAGTATACATTGAACAACCTGTTGAATGAGGTTGCCAGCTCTTTGAACCACTTTGTGAAATAGGTTCACATTGCATTTCCAGTAGAAATGTTTTATCGGAATCAGATTTTAATTAAAAGCCATCTCTGTCAACTGAACAGATTTTTTTTTTAAGAGGGGAGTAATAAAAGATTTTGATTCCTGTTTTTGCAGGATAGGATTTCTTGGTCTAGGCTTAATGGGAAGTGGAATAGTTGCAAATCTCTTGAAAATGGGACACACTGTTACAGTGTGGAATCGCACAGGAGAAAAGGTATGCCCCCTTAAAACTTCTATATTTTGCGTCCACATCGTCAGTTGTTGTCACCTTTGCCACATTGTCAAAGTTATTATGGATTGAACCCCCACTTCGGAGACTTTGCATAATTCGGACGGATGCTTCAGTGCATTGTCGGTGGTACTTTTTTTTTTTGCTTCTGTTGAACATATGGCATTTTTGAGAGAAAACAGGAGAATTTTCCCATTGAATATTGCTGAAAATAGATTATTTTGGTCTGTGTGTCATTTGCTGCATAAGTTGGCTGCTGGGTTCTCCTATATTCAGCAGCAATTACACATTAAAAGTACTTCATTGCCTGTAAAGTACTTTGGGTGTCCTGACGTTGTGAAAGGTGTTATAGAAATCCAAGTACATCTGGCTTTGTCTTTACTTTTCTCAAATAAAAGCAGAGTACTATGCATTCTGGAGATCTAATCTAAAAACAAAATACTGGAGAAACTCGGAGATAGTAAGAACTGCCGATGCTGGAGTCTGAGATAACACAGTGTGGAGCTGGAGAAACATAGCAGGCCAGGCAGCATCAGCGGAGCAGGAAAGCTTAAAAAAAACGTGTCTGAAGAAGGGTCCCGACCCGAAACGTCAGCTTTCCTGCTCCGCTGATGCTGCCTGGCCTGCTGTGCTCCTCCAGCTCCACGCTGTGTTTACTGCAGAAATTCAGCAGGTCTGGCAGCATCAGTGGAGAGAGAAAGACAGTTAAAATTTCAACTCCAGTATAAGTCACATAAGATGTCCTAACAGCCTGAGAAACACTAGTATCACTGCCTATGTAAAATAGAGATTATCTGGCAAAAACAATGAATTGGATATGAAGCATCTTCAGCCATATGCCTCTTTCAGGACATTCAATGTTTTATTTCTGGCAGGACTTTGTCCACTTCCAAAAGCTGACGTTAAGGCTGAAATTAGAAAGGTATTAAGCCCATCCAAGTAACTCTGTAACCCAGAACTTTAGTGAGAGACTCATATTCTGAAAGTACCTTTCTGAAATGAATATATGTAAGTGATTTCCTTTTGAAGTGAAAATTTATCAAATACCTCTTAATTTTGTGGCAGTGCGACCGTTTTCTTCAGGAAGGGGCACGTTTAGGACGTACTCCAGCAGAGGTGGTTTCTATGTGTGATATCACACTCTCCTGCATTTCTGACCCAAAGGCAGCTAAAGACGTAAGTACGTTTTTTTAATGTTTTTTGACTGAGCAGCAAAGAATCCTGATGATCAATACCTTGATTTTCTTTGTAAATACCATTTAATTTTACGGAGAGGAATGCTAACACATCAACATGACACTCATCTTTTTTTAAAGAAGAAACTAACAATCTGTATTTGCAGCAAGTTTACTTTGTGCTTTCAGCTGGTTCTGGGTCCCAGTGGGGTACTGCAAGGGATTCGACCAGGCAAGTGTTATGTTGACATGTCCACAGTGGATCCTGAGACGTCCACAGAAATCTCACAGGTATGACCAGACTTCTTACAAACCATAAGATTCAGCATGTACCAATCTTTAGTTCAGCTGCATGAACTTAAACACCTGCATACTCCAGATATTTGATATATATATATTGATTTAATAGAGATACTCAAGAAAATGTAGTCATTTTGCAAATGTGAAGAAAATTAATTAATATAATATTTGAAGTAACTTCTACAAATTAGTACTTTTTCACAGTCCAAAGATTGCTTAGCGGCATTGAAGATGACTGGCTCATCTGGTCCTAAGCCGAGGTTGCTTTGAATTAAATGAGAAGCCCTATAAATCAGCAATAGTAAACTTCATTCTGAAATGTAGATTCTACTTGCAGCTTTCTTACAGTTGTTATCTGTCCTGTTTTTACCTCACGTGTGATACTTTGCTTCATCAATTTGTCTGAAGGGGTACTGGTTAGTTAAATAACTAATGTGCGCATCAAAATAATGGCACCAGCGTGAGTTTTAAACCCTGTTGACTGAGGTATATTCTGGGCCTGTCTCCTCTCCCTAGCTTCTGTTTTAGTTTAAGTCATGTCCTTATTTCTAGCTTGATGCATAACTTCCAAGAATCTCCTTTCAGACAGAGAATTGTGGAAGGAGATTCATCTGAAGTAATTTCTTTGGTGAACCAAATACAAGAAGTGCATTCTATCTCTCTAGAATTTTCAGTTTCTTATATGTTGTTCCCTGATAGCACATAATGTTTCGAGCACGATGTCTTCTAGCCACTTTTGGCTTTCTGATTCTTGGTTCTGATTTTTCTGATCAACTCCAGTCTCCCAGCCTGCCTCAATCCCCTGCAATTTGCCTACCGACATAACAGGTCTACAGAAGAGGCCATATCCGAAGTCCTGCACTCATCCCTGGAACATCTGGACAACAAAAGCACCAAAATCAGACTCCTGTTCGTGACTACAGCTCCACCTTCAACACCATTATCCCCCCCAGACTGATCTCAAAACTGTGTGACCTTGGTCTGGGCTCTGCCCTCTGCAACTGGATCCTCAGCTTTCTGACCTACAGGCCACAATCAGTGAGAATAGGTAACTGCACCTCCTCCACAATAACAGTCAACACTGGAGCCCCCCAAGGATGCATCCTCAGTCCCCTACTGTACTCCTTGTACATCTATGACTGTGTTGTCAAATTCGAAACGAACGCCATCTACAAGTTCGCTGACAACACCACCATAGTGGGACGGATATCTAACAACGATGAGTCAAATTATAGAAGGCAGATAGAAGGCTTAGTGATGTGGTGCAATCTGTCTCAACGTCAGCAAAACTAAAGAACTGATCATCAACTTCAGAAAGGAGGAGAACACCACCTCCCCCCCGCCACACCCCACATCAACAGAACTGAGGTTGAGAGACTGAAGAGCATCAAGTTCCTCGGCATGACGATAACCAGCGACCTGTCCTTGATTTCCCACACAAATGCGACCCTCCAGAAGGCACAACAATGTCTCCTCTTCCTCAGGCAGCTCAGGAAATCTGGCATGTTCATAAGCTCCCTCACCAACTTCTACAGATGCACCATTGAAAGCATACTATCTGGGTGCATAACGGCCTGGTATGGAACTGCTCTGCCCAGAACCGTAAGAAACTACAGAAAGTGGTGTGCACGGCCCAGACCATCACGGAAGCCAACCTTCCATCCATGGACTCCATTTACATGGCTTGCAGCTGCGAAAAGGTAGCGAACATCATCAAAGACCCATCGCATCCCGGTAATGATCTCCTACAAACCCTTCCGTCAGGCAGAAGATACAGAAGCCTGAACACCTGCACAAGCAGTTCAGGAACAGCTTCCTTCTGGCCGTTATCAGACTGTTGAATGGACTCTAGCCTCAAATAATGTAACCTGTATGCCTCGTGCCTCTAAGTCTTTTTCATCTGTGCATCCTTTGCTTGCTGTGATTTGCCTGTACTGCTCGTAAACAAAGCTTTTCACTGTATTTCAGTACCCTTGACAATAAATTAATCAATCAATCAATCAATCCTCAGATAGGCCTTGTGTTCCCATTCCTAACTTCTAGTTTGGTTTGATTTTGTTTTTACATTTTTGTTTGTTCATTCTCTTGCAACAAAGCGTTGTGTGGAAGATGTAGGAAGATGCCTTCCCACATGGCTCATCGGGCAAATGTATCACAGCTGAGCCATTCCAAAAGTGAATATTCCAAATTTGGCCTGATGAATACTGACTTAGCTGAGATGGAGTACAAATGCAAAAAAAAATGACTTTATGGAGGGTAAATATCAGTTGCAGTTGTCTTTTCTGAACATTGCCCTTACTGAGAGTGCATGGTATGGTCATTGCTTAAAGGTAGTATTGAAAGGGTGAGATACTAATTGTACTTTGAGATTTGCAGTTGATAAAATGTACTGTTGTCATCCATTCTTGGAATATTATGTGATATGCTTGATGACTGTGAGAGTATATGAATTTTTGACCACAGCTTATAAAATATTTAATTCTAATTTGTCATGATTGGTGTGATGATGCAAAAGTTATCACAGCAGGGATTATTCTGTAAAAGATGAAATGGATCTGGTTGACTGTGGTTCAAAACTCTCACGTACAGTTGCCTTAGATGTCATGAGTGATGTTTAAATGTTTTCCTGACTTAAAGTATGATCTAACATTCCAATGGATGCTTTAGTTCCATGACCCAATTCTTTGATTCCACCCCTGTGCCGGTGCTTCTTTAAGACTAAAGTTTGTGGACCTTTCTGGGATCTACTTTTAATTTAACAGACTCCATAGGAGCCAGGACTGACCTGTAATTGTTTGTCCATTGCTCAGGTGATCACTTCCAGAGGGGGTCGGTTTCTTGAAGCACCAGTCTCTGGCAATCGGCAGCTTTCAGAAAATGGAATGCTGGTGATCCTTGCTGCTGGAGATAAAGCTTTATTTGACGAATGTAGCAGCTGTTTTCAGGCCATGGGGAAGAAGTCATTCTATTTGGGTAGGTCAATGTTTACATAATCCTCAAATTATTTCTCCCTTAAGCTCTGTTTTTGAATCATCTTGATGGAATTGTTTTAGGTTCTGTCAAGCTCAACATCTTTGAATACGTTTTTCCTGGGTTAGATATGATTCTCCAATCTCGAGCCCAAGCAACAAGAATTAAAAATTTTGAGTATCAACTGGCAAACCAAGTGTTCCTCAATAACATAGCTCTTTTTGGTACAGAATGTTATTTGAAGAAATCTATTGGTCGCTTCACTTTTTAAAATTCATTAACAACAATTCTTTTTCATCTTACTAATTTCATGTAAATTTTCCATATTGTGTAAGCTGCGGAACTAACTATTAGAACTGGATAAAAGTGACTGAGCTTGAAATTTAGCCCTGAGTGGAGAAGTTGTAGAAGTAAAATGATCTGATCAATGAAATGTTCTGTCTTAAAAGATTGTCTGTTTACCCCTTAACCTTATCAACCTTGCTCATTTTTTCCATATGCTATGAAATAACACCAGTATTTACTGTTCGCCTTTAAACTGCTTTAGATGAAAATTAACCTGAAGAATGAGTAGCTTTGTCCTTTTTTTTTTTGGAAGACATCCCTAATGGGGAGACTTTGTTTTACAAAAACAAACATCTCATCCTGCTAGTGCTCAATTTGTGTAACTAATTTGTCTGAGGGCAAAGTAGCACAAATGCTGGAAATCTGAAATAAAAGCAGAAAGGGCTAGAAATACTCAGTAGATCGGGCAACATCTGCAAAGAAACAGTTAATATTTCAGGCCCTGACGAAGGGTGTAAACCCGAAATGTCGACTGTTCTGCTCCTTTGATGCTGCCTGACCTGCTGTGTTCCTCCAGCTCCACACTGTATTGACTCTGATTCCAGCATCTGCAGCTCTTGCTCTCTCCGAACATTTCAGGTTTATGACCCTTTAACAAAACTTGACTTGATTATTAACTCTTCACGTCAATGCAGTTACTGTCAACCTGACTACTTACAGCAACTTTTGCTTATAATTGAGGGTGTGGTTTAGGCTGTCTGGTAGTCTCAGATGTCGTGTAAGATTGTTTTTTATGCACAAGTTCTGCTTTCAGGACTAAGTAAAGCACACGATTGAACGAGTTTAAAACTATTGTTTCCTTTTCAGGTGAGGTGGGCAATGCTTCAAAGATGATGCTGATTGTAAATATGATCCTCGGCAGTTTCATGGCTTCTCTAGCAGAAGGATTCACGTTGGCTAAAATAGCAAGTCAATCGCAAGAAGTATTGCTTTACATCTTGAGTCAGGGACCTTTGGCAAGTTCGTTTTTGGATCAGAAGTGCCAAAGTAACTAACTTTTCTATTTATCTTTGAGGGGGCGTAGATGTTGGTCGAAGAGAGAATTAGTTCAGGCAAGGGATGCTGTTCAAAATAAAAACACTGGAAGGACTGCGGATGCTATAAATCAGGAACAAAAACAAAGTTGCTGGAAAAGCTCAGCAGGTCTGGCAGCATCTGTAAAGGGAAAAACAGAGTGAAGGGATTCTCTTCGTCAGAAATGTAACTAAATCCATATTAAATAAAACAGTTTAATTTACAGTCAAAATCCAGGTGCGGTGCTGTTACTGAAAGCCAATTGGGAATTCGTATTGGTTTTAATACAAGACTGTGTTTTATGCAATATTTTTATACTGGCCTATTTAGAGTCACAGTCATACAGCAAGGAAACAGACCCTTCAGTCCAACTTGTGCATGCCTCTAAACCTTTCCTATTCAAGTGCCTGTCCAAATGTCTTTTAAATGTTGTAACTGTACCTGCCTTTACCACTTCCTCCAGTAGCTCATTCCATACATGCACCACCCTCTGTATGAAAAAGTTGCCCCTCAGAGCCCTTTTAAATCTTTCCCCTCTCACCTTAAACTTATGTCCCCTATTTTGAACTCCCCCACCCTTGGAAAAAGTCCTTGGCTATTCACCTTATCTATGCCCGTCATAATTTTATAAACCTCAATAAGGTCGCCCCTCAGCCTCCGATGCTTCAGGGAAAAGTCCCAGCCTATCCAAACTCTCCTTATAATTCAAACCCTCCAGTCCTAGCAACATCCTTCTGATACCAGGGTGACCAGAATTTTATGGAGTATGCCACATGTGGCCTCACCCAATGTCTTGTACAGCAACAGCATGATGTCCCAACTCCTATACTCAATGCTCTGACTAATGATGGCAAGCGTGCCAAATGCCACCTTCACCACCCCTGCTTTCAAGGAACTGTTAAACTGTACTGCTGGATCCCTCTGTTTATCAACAGTCCCTGGGTCCTAACATTAACTATTTAAGTCCGGCCCTGGTTTGCCTTATCAAAATGCAACACCTTGCATTTATCTAAATTAAACTCTATGAGCCACTTCTTAGCCACTGCCTATCTGATCAAGATCTCTTTGTACGCTTAGATAACCTTCACTCTCCACTATGCCACCAATTCATGAACAAGCTTTAGAAGCTGTGATATTAGACACTAATCTTTCAGTTTATAGGCCTGCATTATTGAGCACATGAAATAATTTTGTAAATTGGGCCCTAAAATAGCCCTAGATAAAAACACAAAGCAGTAAATATTCAAGTTTCCTCTGAGCTTTCTTTTGGATACTATAAAGCTATGTATGGTTTGAAAAGTGTTTGGTTGAGAATCTGCAAGTGCAAGGCTTTGAAAGCTGGAAGAGTTTGTGCACTGGACAAATGACTCCTTTGGAGATATGTATTTAGTAATCCAAATTGGTTGTATTTATGCCTACAAAGTTCAAATTATGGGTTTTCACCAGGGGTTGTGATTATTGACATACAAGATTTAAGCTCAAAGATAATCTAAAGCTCCTGTAAGTGAATGAAAAATTGTCAGTGAAGCTTGTGGAACAAGTTACTCTCTGTAGAATTTCTGAACAGAAATGGTCCCTCCACCTCACTTGAAACATGGAAAACTGGAGCACAGGTTGATGCAGTGTCTGCAAACCACAAAGGATTGCTTGCACAACTGCATGAAACAGACCTGAAGATCACTTTTGGGCTTTGATTTTGGACAGACAGTAATTATTCATGCCAGTGGAATAGAATTGGATTTTACTATATGGTGGACTAGAATACTACATGGTTGTGCCACAGCCAAACTGGACCCAGATTTTTGGCTGGTTGTAAGAACGAAGGTGAATCTGGAAGTTAGTTGTTTGCATATCATGCCTATTAAATCAGTTACTTTTGAAATTGTAACTGTGTATTTTACAGATAAGTGAACTTTAACCTTGCTTAATCTAAAGTTTTTGCATAACTATGTTCAAAGATTTATTATATGTAATAGTAAATGACCAACAAACCCATTGACTGTATCGCAATTCTTTCATCAGATATTTTGCAGGGAAACTTCAAGCCTGACTTCTTGTTGAAACACATACAAAAGGACCTCAGGTTAGCTATTGCTATGGGTGATTCTGTCAATCATTCAACTCCAATGGCGGCTGCAGCCAATGAAGTAAGTTCTCGACATGTTCTGCCCCAGTGTTTGTTTACAAATCAAATTTTCAAATAAAGAAACATTAGACTGGTTCCATGAATAAATGGCATGACATAGGCTACCTATTTACCATACTGAACAATTCAATAGATCGGGGTCAAATGGTGGCACTCAAAGAAAAGTATCCCTCGAGTTTCATTGGTGGGATACTAAGTGTGAGACTGGAATGATGTTCACAGTAGTCAGCACAGGACTTTCTATTTATTCCTAACTGCAATTCTAAAACAAAAATTGTGGAGTTTTTCTTTAAACGTTAGCATATCTGTGCTCACAATTTCTCAGCTTCTAATCTTCTGCTATTTGGTCCTTGCAATATCTTTAATATTTTAAACTGTATGTTTACTATTGCTTAGTTTTATGATAAACTACTTTGCACATCAAAATGAACTTTTTTCTTTCCTTAGATTGGTAGTTTATCCTGGCTTTTCTTATGCAGTCAGAGTTGACATTTTAATCCATCATATTTAATATTGCAGAACTTGGAGGCAAAGTTAGTTCTTTGTCAGTTATTTTTCATTGTTCAAGCTCAATTATTGTGCTCTTTATGAAAAGTTGTCTTTAAGATTGCCCTTACTCTTCCTTTCAATTTATTTATCATTTAGTAATTGAAGGGTTAAAAGTCCAAATCTACCCCGTTGTAGCATGTATTATTACAGCTGTTAGTCCTCAATTGTATGTTGTCCAATAGCTTTGATGTAACCTTAAACTTTCTGCAGAACAGGGAAGCCTCGGTAGAAAAAAATAAACAATTTGAAAGGTATAGTGAAAATTGCAGTATTGTCTACCGTAAGCATTACATCATAAAACTGTGTAATGACAGATATCAGTTCTGTTTGTTACTTGAGTTTTATCAGTAGATTTAGAAATATGTTCCTGCTACCTTTTTAAAGCTTTACAGTAAGGACAGTGCAATATGAAATACTTAATAGCAGCTTTGACTCTGATTGAGGGTAGCTATTAAAGACTGGCCAAGAGCCTCTGGCTTTGGACTTGAGATGTTCCGATGCCTCAAGGTCCAGATAATTTGCTGTGACTTGATCCCATTTGCTTAGAGCTAAATTTGGGGCTTCTGAAATTACCCAATTCTGTGGAACGTAGCTTCCCCCCCAGAATAAGATGTAGTTTTACCCTGAGATAATAAGGTGTGGAGCTGGATGAACACAGCAGGCCAAGCAGCATCAGAGGAGCAGGAAGGTTGACGTTTCGGGCCTAGACCCTTCTTCAGATTTTTTTCTGAAGAAGGGTCTAGGCCCAAAATG